TGGATCATATATCTTATTGTAAACATAACACAACTTATTTAACTCTTACTATCACGTAGGTTTTTTTGCCTTAAATCTGGCTATCATAACCAATGCTATCCTGATCCATTTTTCAGCTGATTTTGACCCTCATCTGTAATTATTTCCTTAGGATCCATTTCTATATATTTTTCTTTCCAATTACATTGGAGCATTTTAAACTTAGTTGATCTCCCACTATTTAAAAACTTAATACTATTTGGATGGAACACCAGCAGGGATTTATATATTGTAATTTGAGTTTAGGTCTAAGTAGCCTGTAACATTTGCCTACTGTACAATCTAAGTACTGTAGGAAATAATCACTTCAAATTCATATGCTTCAGTTCATGTCTTTTGCAGGGACATGGATGAAGCTGGAAACCATCATTGTCAGCAAACTGTCACAAGATCAGAAAACTAAACACCACATGTTCTCACTTATAAGTGGGAGTTGAACAGTGAGAACACGTAGACACAAGGAGGGGAACATCACACACCGGGGCTTGTGGGGGTGGGGGGCTAGGGGAGGGATAACATTAGGGGAAATACCTAATGTAGGTGGCGGGTTGATGGGTGCAGCAAACCACCATGGCACATGTATACTTGTGTAACAAAACCACATTCTGCACATGTAACCCAGAACTTAAAGTATAATAAAATAAATAAATTCATATGCTTTTAAAAACACACTTAACAAAAAATGATACACTTGAAAATGAACTTTTTTAGTTGTAATTGTACATTCTAACAAGATAAAGTTAGTTACATAAAGCTTTTTCCTTTTTTTGGCTGTAAAATATGACTCAAACTTGGTAACTTTTTTGCCCTATGATGTATAGGTTTGCTACAGCTGCTATAATAAAGTACCACAGACTGGTGGCTTAAATAGCAGAAATTTGTGGTCTCTTCATGTCATTTTCCCCCATGCATGCGTCTGTGTGCAAATTTCACCTTTAAAATTTTTCCTTTTAATTTTTACAATTTTCTTATTTTTAATTTTTGTGGATACATAGTAGGTATATATATTTAGAGGGTACATGAAATATTTTGAGAAGTTTCCCCTTTTTATAAGGATACCAGTTAGATTAGATTAGAGTCTACCCTAATGACCTCATTTTGATATAACTAATTATATCTGAAACAACCAAATAAGGTCACATTCTGAGGTGCAGTGTGTTAGGCTTTCAGCATAAGAATTTGTGGTGACACAGTTTATAACACATGAGAAAAGCTTTTCTAAATGTCTCCATTTTACATCTTAATATAGTGTTGCTAAAGCATAATCCTATTTTATGTAGCATCAAATGTTAAGCTTAGGTTTTTTGGTTTATTTTTGGCTAAGACAGGTTCCATGTGAGGAGAGGCATTTTAAAACGTACCCTGGATTTTTAAAAATCAGGTATGGTAAGGTGACAGACATGGAGACAACTGCCTTTGCATGAAGAGTTTATTACTTCCATTTCCCAGCAGAAGGGAGCATGCCACACCGTACAGAGCCACATGGGGATGTCTCAAGATTTGGTCAGGAGGCAGAATGAGTGCCTGGGCAGAAGGGAAAAAGCCTAGACCCAGAGCCTTTATCATGTTTTCTTTAGAAAAGGCAGAACCAGGCAGGGGCAACAATTTAGGATTGTCTAGTTTGAATAATGTCGCCAGGCTCTGGGCTATGGGGGTAGTCTCTAGTTGTCTGGTCCTCAGGTTGGTTTAGGGCAGGGGAAATAATGGTTGGTGTATGAGAGTTAGATGAAGATGGTAATTGGGGTTATGGGCTTTGGGTTGGTTGGTTGCATATAAAGGGTATATTTATGGGCAAGCTGTTTACTGCCTTTAAGAATTAGCTAGCTGTAGGAGGGGCTCTCCCCAGCCAACTACAGCTAGCTCCCCTACCCTAATATGTTGGAGCATAATAAAATATAGAAAATAAAAACATATCTCTAGAATAAGCAGGCCCATAAATACAGAAAGTAGATTACTATCCGCTTTGTGTTAGAGGAATGGGAGGTGAGGAAGGGGATAGCTAAAGGTTATGGGGTTTCTTCTTGATGTGATAAAAATGTCTAAAATTGACCATGGCGATGGTTATATGTCTATGAATATACTAAAAGTTACTGATTTTTACATTTTATGTAGGTGAATTATATAGCTTATGACTATATTTCAATAGAACTCTCATTTTTTTAAAGATACAGTGGTGGAGTCAGAAGTCAAATTGAAGTAGATGACATTCTTCCTCCCTATTCAGGAATCAGTTGAATGATGAAGATCCTTAGTCTTATCTACTCCAAGAGAGATTTCAGCTGGGTCCCATCTGTTGCCATTTGGAATATTAAATAGTTTGCCAAGGATAGAAACTAAGTCTGTGCAAGAATGTATAGAGAGTCAGAATGGTCACGCTTCTATACCTCCTCCTCCCCACCCACTTCTTCCCCAAGTCATTCTTCGATTCCAAGGGCAAGGTGAGCTACCTGTGGAATGTAAGTATGGCCTATTTTTTTGTCTGTCCTGAATGCCAGCACTTTAGGAGAAGTGAAAAGTAGATTCAGTAACATGAGAATATTAGAAAACCTGGTTGTAGGCTACAGTGTCATATACTAGATAATCTCCTTGGTGTTACCCTAGAGAATACTCAGTCTTCATTAGTTAAATACATCTCTGCTGCACCCACTGTGAAATACTGGACGTTGAGTTGCCCATGTGGGAAGCAGCTGAATTATAATCACTTACAATTCAGAGGGAATATGGATTTGATGCTTACTTTTTTTTTCCTTTTTTTTGTGAAATTTTGGTCATGATGGCCCATGAACAAAAATGGGGTATACATAAGGTAAAAATTAGATAAAGAAAACATTATATATGTAATGTAATGATAATTTAATACATAGTATGATAATGGAAATATCCCTTACTTCCTTGGTGGGATGAATGAGGACAGAAGAATCAAAATAACCTCTTGTTACTGGTTGAATTTTGGCTGCCCCAAATTTTGCATGTTGAAGTCCTAACTCCCAGTATCTCAGAATGTGACTGTATTTGGAGATAGGATTTTTACAGAGTTAATTAAGTTAAAACGAGTTCGTTAGGGTGGGTCCTAATGCACTCTGACTAGTCTCCCCATGTCTCCATGGGTTTTCTCTGGGTACTCCAGATTCCTCCCACATCCCACAGATGTGCACAAGAAGTTAACTGGTAGGTCTAGGTTGTCCCAGTCTGAGTGAGTGTGGGTGTGTAGTAGGCTACACCATCTAGGTTTGTGTAAGTACACTCTATGATGTTTGCACAACAAGCTTCTTAGGAAATTGCCTAAGAACCCATTTCTCAGAATGGATCTCCATCCTTTAGCGATGTAGACTGTATTTTCATACTGTAAATAGTCCCCTTGTGGTAGATTTCAATCTATGAGTATGACATCACTGAATGTGGAGTTAGAAAGAAAGGTACAGTTCATGGCTCACAGTTCTTACAGCCCTTTTAATCTCCTAAATGACTACAGCAATAAAGTATCTTTTGTTAAAATATCTGGCCTTTTGTTCTTGGTTCCTGAAAAAGCTCCAGAACAGCTCCAGAGCCATAAATGTGAAAGACAGTATTTCAACCACACATGAGTTTATGTTAATGAGGTGATTTTTGGAAACTCACAAGATAATCCCAATATTTGGGGGGAGCAGTAGCTAGTTGCCAGAGGAACCAGCCATGTACTCAGAGGATTGGAACTCACAGCTCCACCCTCTACTTCCTGGAAAAGAGAGGCTGAAAATTGAGTTGATCGCCAGTGGCCAGTGATTTAATCAATCACATCTACATAATGAAACCTCCATAAAAACCAAAAAGACCTGAGTTCAAGCGGCTTCCAAGAAGGTAGACAAAAACACATCCTCATGCTGGGAGGGTGGTGCACCCCAGCTCCACGGGCACAGAAGCTCCTGCACTAGGGATTCTCTTGGACCTTGCCCTACATGTCTCTTCATCTGGCTATATATTTGTATCCTTTAAAATATCTTTTATAATAAACCAGTAAACATAAATGTTTCCCTGAGTTCTGTGAGCCGCTCTACCAAATTAATGGAACCCAAGGAGCCGGTTGTGGGAGCCCCAAGTTATAGCACATCTCTCTGAAACACAGGTACAACAATCTGGAGTTTGGAATTGGCATGGGAAGTGGGGGACAGTCTTGTGGGACTGAGCTGTCTAACCTGTAGGATCTGATGCTCTCCAGGTAGCGTCAGAATTGAATTGGAGTGGAGGTCATCTGGCTGGTGTCTGCTGCAGAAAGGTTGTTTTGAGATGTTAAGACATTATAAGAGACAATAGAAAAAATGTATACGATACAACCTTCTCTGTGTTATATTTCTCCATAGCCCTTTTTACTATTCATCAGACTATTTATCTAACTCATGAATTTGTGGCTTGTCTCTCTCCACCTCAAAGTAAATTATATAATAAGAGGGCAGGGATTTTTTTTTCTCTGCTGTATCCCCCTGAATTGCTTTACCTTATTTGTCTCACCTTCCCATACTAATTCTACAGTTTTCCTAGTAAGGGCTAGTCCCCTAAAACAGGGACCATTTCCATTCTTTTAAGGGGCGGAACGCGGTTCAATCCTAGCGGACTGGTTCCAAAAACTTCGTGTTATTCACTGCCTCTGAGCAGTGATATTCCCATTTTGCAGCTGAGAGAGGTATTTATTTGCTAGAGTCACAACACGGTAGGGGTTCCGAGTCGCTGTTCTTATACCAAAATAAGCTTAGCACAGAAAGATAATCACATTCCCACGGACAGGCACAGAAGGCCGCGCTCCGAATGACATCGCGATCATAGAGGCACAGACAGCGTCACAAAGCCGCACACATGCTCACACCGAAGGCTCAGCCATCGCGCGCTTCACTCCCAGTCCCCAGAAACCGGTAACTAGGGACTCTTTTGGTCTCTAGGCGAAAGGGTGGGTGGGGGAGAGCGCAATCTTTGCGCCTGCGCACACTCCGCTCTTACCCGCCGGAAGCCCTCGGCCACGCCCACCTGTCATAATCACGTACTGCGCAGGCACCACCCGCTCCATCTCTAAGGTCCCTCCCACTCCCACAGCAGCCCGAGGACAAGCCCCTCAACGCTAGGCCACGCCTGGTCTCCGCCCGTCACGTCCGACCCTTGAAGAGAGGCTGGCGCCTGCGCGATGGAGGTTCCGGCGTTGACTCAAGAAGTCCTTCGGATGAGAGCTTCTGGGTGCCAGACGAGGCCGGGGGTTTGTTTTGCGTGGTCTGGGAGTCCGAGCCCGAGGGCTGGGCCAGGAAGGGCAGGCGAGGCGGGCGGCTCAGACCCGGGTCGCGAAGGCCCAGCCGCGTCTTCTGTCCCCAAGACGACTACATTTCCCAGAGGCCAGCGCGGCGCGCGTACTCGAGTCTGCGGGGCGGAGGCCGCGGCTCGGGGCTGCTGGGCGTTCGGGGCGGCTTGGGGCGGCGGGACCACGGGAGTGAGCTGTGGGAGAGATGGGGGTGTGCCTGTGTGTAAAAGATCGGTCAGCGTGTGAGGCTTCGTGAGAGGGTGCGGTTTCTGTGTGTGTGTGTGTGTGTGTGTGAAGACCGAGAGTCCAGAGTGTGAGACCAGGGTGTGTTCGTGTGTGACAGAGCGAGACGGGTCAGTGCGAGAGACCAGTGAGTGTGAGAGAGATGGGGGTGTGCCTGCATTTGAAAGAGAGCGTGTGAAGCTCTGTGAGAAGATGCGGGATGTGTGGGTGTGTAAGTGTGTAACAGACCGGGTGTCCAGAGCGTGAGACCAGGATGTATTCGTGTGAGAGAGGGAGACGGGCTGGCGTCTGAGAGACCAGTGTGAGAGAGATGGGCGTGGGCCTGTGTGTGAAAGGCCGGTCGGTCGGTGTGTGAGGCTCAATGAGAGGCCAGTGTGTGTGTCAGAGAGAATCACCACGTATGCGAGACTAGACGGTGCGAGGCCAGAGTGTGAGACTGTGGTGTGTTAATGTGTGAAAGGGAGACCAGTGAGTGTGAGAGAGATGGGCGTGGGCCTGTGTGTGAAAGGCCGGTTGGTCAGTGTGTGAGGCTCAATGACAGGCCGGTGTGTGTGTGTTTGAGAGAGAAGAATCACCATGTATGCGAGACTAGACTGTGTGAGGCCAGAGTGTGAGACTGGTGTGTTAATGTGTGAAAGGGAGACCAGTGAGTGTGAGAAATGCGTGTTTTGGGTGAAAGACCCGTCAGTGTGTGAGGCTGTGGTTTATATGTGTCTGACAGACTGAGACCAGAGTGTGAGACCAGGGTGTGTTCGTGTGTGAGTCTCTTTCTCACAACCTGAGTGTTCTCTACACAGCATGACACCAGTGAGTGTGAGAGAGATGAACATGTGGCTGTGTGTGAAAGACCAGTCATGTGAGGCTCCTTGAGAGGCTGGCGTGTGTGAGAGAGAGAAAGACTAAACTGTGAGAGTCTGAAGAGTGAGACTACGGTATGTTGGTATTAGTTTGTGAGAGAGGGAGGTGATCAAAGTATGGGACAAAGTTATGTTTCCTGGCATACAACTTCCAAGATCCTTGCAATCTCCAAAGTATTAAGTGTCTTTTTGCATGCTAATGATTGGTGGGCCGGCAGCCTGTAGGTAGATCATGGTAAGGGCTGGTCATCAGAACAACCTAGGCAGGATTAGAGGGTTGGGATTATCAGTACCATCCTCAATCTCCAGGGAGAGGAAAGGAAGCCACAGGTTAAATGGATCATCAGTGGTCAGTGATTTAACCAGCCATGCCTAAGTAATGAAGCTTTCGTAAAAACCCAGAGGGACTGAGTTCATCAAACTTCCAGATAGCTGAACGCTGGAGTCTCCTGTAGGATGAGCCCCTTCCTACATAACCTTTTCCTATGCATTTCTTCACCTGTATCTTTTGTAATAATTCTTTATGATTATAAACGTGTTTCCCTAGGTTCTGTGAGCTGCCCTAGCAAATTAATTGAATGCAAGGAGGGGGTCATAGGAACCCCAATTTTATAGCCAATCAGAAGCACACATAAAACAACCTGGGGCTTGCAATTGGCATTGGAAGTAGGGAGCAATTTTGTAGGACTGAGCCCTCAATGTATGGGATCTTATGCTATCTCCAGGTAAATAGTGTCAGAATTGGGTTGCCCTAGAGGTCACCCACCTGGTATTCATTGAAGAATTTATTGCTTGCCTGGTGTGTGTGTGTGTGTGTGTGTGTGAAGACCCCACACATCTGGTCTTAGAACTGTTTTGTGTTGTGAGAGTAGAGTAAGAGAAACAGTTTGTTTCTCCTCTTTGTCAGCTGAGTGTGTTATCAGGGACTGGACTGTGAGAATCCAGAGTGTGAGCCAGGGTATATCAATGTGTGAGAGAAACAGATGTGCCAGTGTGAAAGATTAACAAGTATGAGGCTCCCTGGAGTCTGAGAAAGATCATGTGTGTGTCTGAGTAAAAACAAGAGACTAGACTGAGAGTTCAGTGATTGGGAGAGAATAGGGTATGTTGGTGTGAGTGTGTGAGAGACCAATGGGTATGTGAGAGACTAGAGTATGTCTCTGTCTGGCCTGGTAGGTAGGGAGATGGTGTATCACAGTATGAAAAAGACTGGAGTGACAGCGACCAGTATGTATTTTGTGTGCATGAGATAAAGCAGTTGGAATGTGAGAGATCAGAGTGTGTTTGTGTATCTGTGTGAGATACTGGTGTATTTGAGTAATTGAGGCCTCTTTGAAAGATACCATTGCATGTGTATGTATGAGAGAACATCATGTTTGTATGCGTGAAAGAGGGAGAGAAAGACTAGTGATGTGGTTGGGTAAGAAAGAAACTATGTGAACCATGGTGTGTTATCCAAAAGGCTTTACAAATATAACCTCTCTGAGGTTGTGAAGCATGAATGTGTGAGACAGAGATAGGGGACAGTGAGCTGTGTGTGTGAGAGAAGTAAGATTAGGGGTATGTGTGAAGGTGTTGGTGAGTCACTGTGTGTGCTTATATTCATGTCCTTAGACAATGGAAATGTGACTGTATATGTGCTTGTTTTGGGGTGCTTGTGATTGTGTCCTCTGTGTGACCAGGAAACTTGTTAGTGTTTGTATGTCACCCTGTATACCTGTAATTGTCTCCCTGTATGACTGCTGTGTGTGGGGAGACTACTTGGAAGATGGATAGTATTGGATTGTTTATGAGTGTGGCTGTTTGGAATTGTGTGTTGCCGGGATAGGAAACATGGAATAGAATTCCTGTCCACAGTCCAGGAGTTTCAGTAAGAAGCAAAAGCTGGGGTGACTGAAACTCCTAACTGAAGCAGGAGACACCCTCAGTTCTGTGTGACAGGAGGGTAATCAAGGGGCTGGGACAGAGGTGAGAGTGAAAGTGGCAGAATTGAGTGCTAAAGGTTCCATCGTTTCAGGGTGAGGAAAGTGAAACATTGCCAGGGAGCAGGGCAGGGGTGCAGTGGTGGGGGTTGAGTGAAGGAGGAGAATAACCCTGGCCCCTAGTGGCATTTGGGAGTCAGATTTTCCTTTTTCTTTTGTTTTTTCCCAAAAACCCCATCCATCTGGCCCAAAAAGGAGCCAGATTTTCAAAGAGTAGACTTTCAAAGCATGAAGCAGAGACCCAAGAAGAAAATGACTCCACCTTTACCTGTAAAAATAGAGGAAATGACTATTTGGTAGGATTATTTCAAAAATAAAGCGAGATAATCTAATCTATGCAGAGTACCTAATACATCTGAATGGGAAGGTAAGTCTTTGAAAAAGATTAAATTTAGGACCTCAAGCATGAAAAAAAAAAAACAAAAACCAGTTATGAGTTACAGCCCTTCAGTTGCCATAGGTTGCTCATACCCAGTTATGGGATCAACCAAAGCTGGGAAGAAGAAGACAGTTTTAGGCTAGTGATTCTGGGAGTGCAGCAAAGGCCTCATCTCTCACTAACCTTTCCCTTCCTTCAGCCTTGCCTTCCCAAGACACTGCTCTTCAAGAGAAAGACCAGAAGAGAAGGCAAAAATGAATGTTGAAGTAGTAAAAGTCATGCCCCAGGTTAGTTGATATTTTCTTTCTCTTCATGAAAGACAGTCTTGCTGTTTAGTACTTTGCAATGCTTCTTTTCTTTTGAAAATTCCCTGATTAACAGTCCAAGAGCCTAGTTCCCACTTCTCTCAGAGGCCACTGTCTTTAACTCTAATTACCTAATGAGTGAGTAATAGCTTAGTATAAAAAGCCATGGAGGCCCCTGGGAGATTCCTCTTCCCACCTTGTGTACATTTTAAATTTAGTGCTGACTCTTGTGAAAAGACTTGATTTATATTGTATGGAATATACCTGTGGATATCTTAGTACTAGTGAGTCGGGTTCCAGGTTAAATGCGCATCCAGTGCCTCTCCTATATAGAGAATGCATCTACCTGAATTTTTGTCCAAATCTCTGAGTATGTCCTTAAGATAAATTCCTTAAAAGATTTTCTTTACATTTTAAGTATGAATTACCAGCCTCATTTGTTCACCTGAAAAAATCTTATTCTACTTAATTTTTGCAAATTTTATAAATTTAAATAGGTGAGATGTTTACATGGTACAAAATTTAAAAACAAATTTCACCGTTACCTCCCAGTTCTTTTAAGAAGTTATTCTCCGCTTGTATCTCATTCACAGCTATGTTATGCCTTTGTGTGTATACATAAATACTTTCTTCCCTTCGAAGTTAATGGTGTTTTGTGTCCTGTTGATGAAATTTTTGTCTACCTTTAGGTCCTATTTTTCTTCTAAGATTTGTTTTATCCTTCACAGTTAAGTTTCTGGTAAGCTTAGACTTGATTTTTGTGGTTTTCTATCATGGTAGAGCTGAAATTACATTCACTTTTTATGTTAAATTTAATTTACATTAAATTTTTATATTAAATGTATAATTTATAATAAGTGAGGCAGAGATTTATTTTTTCAAGTTGGCGCAATGGCATTAATTGAATTACTCATCTCATTCTCACTAATTTGAAATGCCACCTATACCATGCACTAAACTCCTGTGTATATTTGGTTCTGTTGCTGTACTACACTCAGTTTTACTTGAATTTCTGCTTTTAATTTTTTAATTTTTAAATATTATATTGCACATGTATAAAGAACCATGTATACAAAAGGAACCCTTAATTCTCCCACTGTGAAATTCCCCTTCACATTTTTTCTAAGTGGAAAATGTGTTTTCATGACATACATGAGTGTCAGATGTCCATAATTAGTGCTTAATTAATTTAATTATATGCTTCATATCAAAAGTTATGTTAAATTAATTTTGAAACACTGCTTTTTTTTCTTGCACTGTCAGAGTTCATGAGATATTAAAAAATATTTACATGGATTCTGGGCATCTGTGTCTTCCTCAGCATTAAACCATTTTGTGAATTATCTAACATAATTTTCCAAAGATACAGACCTTTTATGGTTTGTGTGCCTGATGTTGTCGTTAAATTTCTGCCTGAAGTCACAGGCACCATTTAATACAACAGAATTATTCCCCTGCCATTTGCCCTCTAGAAGTAAGTTATCTCCACAATACTACTTACTGTCTTTAGTTTTGATATTTAACCTCATACTCCTGAATAATGTTCCATACACTGTTCCATACACTATTTCTTGATTATTTTAGTTTTAGAAATTATCTAGTAACCTACTACTATAGATGATAAAGATGCAGTCCATTAACCCCATCACCTGAAATGCACACATACATGCTTATTTGATAGACGGTGAACATTATTCACTATTTTTGTTTTAAGTCAGTGTTCAGGGTAGCTTGGTGTCTTTCATCAATTTGGAAATTTTTCAACCACTGTCTTTTTAAATATTCTGAAACTTTCCTGTTTCTAAGATTACAATTATATACATGTTAATTATTTTTCACACTGTTTTACATGTCACTTATGCTTTAATTCTCTCTTTAACTCTGTAATCTCCTGTTAAGCCCATAATGGAATTCTTAACTTCTGTTATAGAATACTTAGTTCTAGAATTTCTATTTAATTGTTTAATGTAATTTTCTATTTTCTTCCTGAATTCACTACCTTTCCTTTTAACTCCTTAAAAATATTATCATAATATTTTGATAGCCTTGTTGGATAATTCCATTATCTGAATCTCTTATGTGTTTCTATTTTCTGATTCTTTGAAAATTATCTTGATTTTTGTCTTAAATGCCTCATTTTGGGTTTAGTGCTAGACTTTATATATTTTTAAAAGATAATTTGAAGTTTTGATGTCCTCCGCTTGAGAAGGTTTACTTAAAATATAAATTTTATTTTTTAGAATAGTTTTATATTTGTAGAAAAATTGCGGAGATAGTATAGAGAAATCTTATACCACACCAATCTTCCCCTATTAACGTTTTACATTAGTGTGGTACTGTTGTTAAAATTAATGAACCAATATTGATATGTTATTAGTAACTAAAGTGCTTAGGTTAGATTTTCTTTCATTGTTTCAACTTTTTAATTTTTTTTTTTTTTTTTTTTTTTTTGAGACACAGTTTCACTCTGTTACCCAGGCTGGAGTGCAGTGGCAGGATCATAGCTCACTATAACCTACCTCTCCAGTTCAAGCAATTCTCACGCCTCAGCCACTTGAGTAGCTGGGATTATAGGCATGCGGCACTGTGCACAGCCAATTTTTGTATTTTTGGTAGGGGTGGGGTTTTGCCATATTGTCCTTGCCATGCTATGTAGGCTGGTCTTGAGCTCTTCGCCTCAACTGATCCACCAGCCTTGGCCTCCCAAAGTGCTGGGATCATAAGTGTGAGCCACTGCACCTGGCCAGGTTTTATCTAATGTCTTTTTTCTGTTCCAGGATACTATCTAGGAAATTATATTACATTTAGTAGCCATATTTCCTAAGACTCCTCTTAGCTGTGATAGTTTTTCATACTTTGCTTATTGATGACCTTGTCAACTTTGAGGAATACTCGATTATTTTGTAGAATGTCTCAAATATGATGTTTTTTCATGATTAGAGTAGGGTACTGTGTTTTGGGGAGGAAGATTGCAGAAGTAAATTTCCTTTTTCATCACATCAAATCAGGGGTGCACACTGTCAACATGAGTTATTACTGTTGATGTTAATTGATGTTAATTAACTTTGAGGTAGTGTTTGTCAGATTTCTCTATAATAAGGTGACTCTTTTTTCCCTCACTTTTCCATACTGTACTGTTTGTAAGGAAGTCACTATGCACAATCTACACTCCAAGAGTGGGAAATTATGTTCTACCTCCTTAAGGGCAAACATAAATCATTTGAAAATCTTCTGAATGAGATGTTTGCCTATTTTTCTCATTTATTTTATTTAGTCTTAATTAATTTAGTCACTTATTCAGTCTTAATCCTCCTGGAAATTTCATAAATTATCTGATACCTTGCAATAAATGGTTTTTTCCTTAAAAAGAAAAAAAGAATTACAAGCTCTTCAGATGCTATCCATTGGGATTTACCTCATTGGTTATAGCATTATCAGTTAAAAACATCACTACATATACGTGTATATATATATATATAAAGTTATTTCATTGATATTGGTAAAATTCTGGTAGTATATATACCAGATTATTAACCATGAGTACCAGGATCAAAAGCAATCAGTTTTTTTTTTCCTGTGGGAACAGCCAAAGCTCCTCTGTCCTTAATCGTCACCAAAATTATCCTAAATACTGGAAAGAATGTGAGCACCTTTTGCTTGCATTGAGGAATTCATCTCATTTTATAAGAATATGTGAAATGGTGGTTCTTAGTTCTCAACTTACTAGAAGGTGAAAACTAGAATTCAGGAAAACTGAGAGTTCACAGAGAAACAGACAATTTTGCAATTCTTTTATATGAAAAATATATTAAACATTTTTCTTTTTTTTTTTTTTTTTTTTTTTTTTTTTGAGACGGAGTCTCGCTCTGTCACCCAGGCTGGAGTGCAGTGGCCAGATCTCAGCTCACTGCAAGCTCCGCCTCCCGGGTTCACGCCATTCTCCTGCCTCAGCCTCCCGAGTAGCTGGGACTACAGGTGCCCGCCACCTCGCCCGGCTAAGTTTTTGTATTTTTAGTAGAGACGGGGTTTCACTGTGTTAGCCAGGATGGTCTCGATCTCCTGACTTCGTGATCCGCCCGTCTCGGCCTCCCAAAGTGCTGGGATTACAGGCTTGAGCCACCGCGCCCGGCCATATTAAACATTTTTCTAAAGGTATGTATATCTTCTGAAGTCCCCTACATTGAATATCTGCTTAAAATTTGCTTTTAAACACTAATCTTTAGAACAAAGACATGATACAGAGATTACTGTTTAAAGCAAATTAAAATGTTGTGCTCCTAACCTTGTCTTTATTTAGTTATATTTTTGATAACTTTGCATCAGGCACTAAGATTAAGAAGATATTCATTTTCAATGGAAATAAATCTGAAGGTGAAAAATGCCCACAATAACTTTTAAAATTTCTTACAACCTGCTGGTGATTATAACTGGTCATTAATTTTTCTCTAAGAACATTTAAAAGTTATAACTTCAATTTCATTTTGTTCTGCAACTGTGGGTTCTACCAACCGTTGGTGGAAAACACAGTATTCACTGATGCAGACATAAGAAAATTGCATTCTTAAACATGTTTTTATTATTTAAGAAAAAAAAAAATCAGCCACATTAGTTCAATGCTTTTCTCCTATCCCTGCCAATAAAACTTGGATCCCATGGAGAATCATTTAAAAAATATCAATTTAGATATTCCTTTTATGCTTTTGAAGATTCAACACAGGTATGTGTTCTTCCTTGAAGCCCTCTTCACTGCCTTGTAGTTATGGATGCACATTTCCCTATGTTCGGAATTGGTTGGCACCATTGTACCCAATGCAGTTAAACACTTCCATAAGTACTATTTTGACTTGGATCTTCATATTTATGTTTTTTCTCTTCTATGAGTTATTTCTCACATAAAGTAGAGACATCTTGCATCAACTCAGAGTTATCTTTGGACATGAGTATTGGTCGGTTAAGAATATATTTATCACTTCAGGACTTAGTGACATTCAAGGATGTGGCAATAGATTTTTCCCAGGAAGAATGGCAATGGATGAACCCTGCTCAGAAGCATTTATACAGGAGTATGATGTTGGAGAACTATCAGAGCCTGGTATCACTTGGTGAGGATCTTTTCCCTCCTGCATAATCTACCTTTAAGGAACTTTTATGTTTTTATATATTATGAAATTTGTTTTTGTTATATGTAGGTCAGAATGGAATCTGGGAATGGAATCTGAGAAACAGAGGATATTGAGGGACTGAAGAAAACTTGAGATTTAGAGTTAGTGAATTTGGTGAATATCAGATATTCCATGCGTACACCCTTAAGGCAATTGGGAACACAGGACACAATGTGAATCTCACCAGTCTCCTGGGTTTCCTTGTTCTCTCTCTCCTACAGAATTATTATCACCACTAGACAACAACAAGGTTCACAAAGAATATATAGCTAGATTACTATAAATTCAGAATATCACTTTTAAAATCTGTATCTTTATATTAACTTGTGATAAGTAACAAACTGAAGACACAAACTGAAAATGGCTTCAGATCGCTTACAGTTAGGGAAATTCATATGGCCTTTTCTTCTAAGCACTGGGGCCACCTCATTGGCTAAATTAGCTTTCTGTTCTCTAGAAGCCCTTTTGATTATGCTTGTGGTTCATTGAGCTTCTTGAAACTAAATTTATATCTTAAACCAAATTTGGGAAATTTTTAGCCATTATTTCTTCAAATCTTTTTTTCTGTTCTTTTATGTTTTGGGACTTCAGTTACACCTATGTTAGATTGTTTGATATTGTGCCCTAGGTAACCAAGGATTGTTTCACTTTTAAAAATCTTTGTTCTCTGTTTTAATTTCTCTCTCTCTCTCTTTTTTTTTTTTTTTAAAGACAGTCTTGCTCTGTTGCCCAGGCTGGAGTGCAGTGGCGCAATCTTGGCCCACCACCTCCCAGGTTCAAGCAATTCTCCTGCCTTAGCCTCCCAGGTAGCTGGGATTACAGGCACCCACCACCACACCCAGCTCATTTTTTTTTTCTTTTATTTTTTTGAGACAGAGTCTCACTCTGTTGCCCAGGCTGGAGTGCAGTGGCTCCATCTCAGCTCACTGCAACCTCTGCCTGCCGGGTTCACACCATTCTTCTGCCTCAGCCTCCCAAGTAGCTGGGACTACAGGTGGCTGCCACCATGCCCGGCTAATTGTTTTGTATTTTTTTAGTAGAGATGGGGTTTCACTATGTTAACCAGGATGGTCTTGATCTCCTGACCTCGTGATCCACCCGCCTCAGCCTTCCAAAGTGCTGGGATTATAAATGTGAGCCACTGTGCCCGGCCTAATTTTTTTATTTTTAACAAAGACAGGGTTTCACCATGTTGCCCAGGTTGGTCTCGAACTCCTGACCTCAGGTGATCTGCCCATCTCTGCCTCCCAAAGTGCTGGGATTACAGGCACGAGCCACTGTGCCCAGCTCAGATTGGATAATTTCTGTTGATTCATAGTCAAATTCCCTGACTCTATCCTTACCCTCAGTGTTTGGTTAGGTGCATCTAGTGAATTTTTAAGTTTCAGATGTTATATTTTTTAAATTATATAATATTTATTTGGTTCTTCTTATAGTTTCTTTTCTGAGATTTTCTGTGTGTGCGTTCATTACAAGTATATTTGCCTTTATATTCTTAAGTATTGATATAATAATAGCTGTTTTAAGATCATATGCTATTTCTTCTTTGTTATTGCAGTATGAGCATCTGTTGCTTGCTTTTTCTAATGGGCATGATTCACTTTTTCCTTATGTCAAGTAATTTTGAATTTTTTCATGTGTACTGTAAATAAAACATTGTAGAGCCTCTGGATTATGTCATATTCCCCTAAAGAGTATTTATTTTTTTCTAAAGCAGGCAATTATCTCAAAACTTCAAACTCTTTCTAGGGACCTTTTAAAATACCTCATTTACTACTGTGTGATAATATTCAGAAAATGTTGGACTAAATTTCTGCCCTCAAGCCCCTTATAAAATAGTTCTCAGAGTTAACTGTTAGCAGTCTTACTAGGCTATTCCAGAGTTTTGTGTAGTCTGTCCTTCAGATGTGCTTTATCTCTTATCTAGTATTCCTACTATATCATTCCACCAGAATTAAGGAACTGGCTTATAGTTCTGAAATAACCCAAAACATGACCAATTTTCATGTCTTTTTTTTATATGTAGGTCTTTGCATTTCTAAGCCATGTGTGATCTCTTTATTGGAGCAAGGGAGAGAGCCTTGGGAGATGACAAGTGAGATGACAAGAAGCCCCTTCTCAGGTGAGTGTGGAAGAACCAGAGAGAGGAATCTTTTTGACATCATGGCTCAGCCATTTTTAGAGGTGATACCTTCTCACTTATGCATCTCAGAAACTCTACATCAGCCTTACAGGCCTGGGGGAGAAAACGGAAACTTTATGCTTAACATGGGCCCCTCAAATATCTTCTCTTCTACTTGACTATCTTCTCTCTAAGAACTAAGATTCTCTAGAGATTAGAGAATCTTAAATCTCTTAAGATTTTTGTCTTGCAAAAATCTTTATCCAGCTCCTTACCATCCCCTTTTGCTTTGCCATACAGACTTATATAAACTTTTGTGTTTCTTAAATCTTTTCTTAACTCTTGCATTAGGTTCTGCTTACAAATTATAATGTACCCTTCTGTTCTTTCATTCCTTTCCTGTAGCAGATAGGAAAAATCTAAACCCTGTTAGCCTCTTCCTGACCAGCTCCCTCCTACTTCTATAAACTCATTCTTTATTACTTTTTAGCTTTTTCATTATACTTTAGTCCAGAGTTTGCTAAATTTTGTGAGATACCGAGGGTATGTTTCAAGTGAGTTACAGGTATACCAAGCTACTGAGTCTGTCAAGAGCCTTGGAAGACTAGATGGGTCCAGAGGTAATTCCAAATCTGATCGCCTCTGAGTCACAGGCAGTATCATTCTTTTGCCTGCTCCACCTGTGTTTTACAGATGTCATATTGAATAAGTATTCATCTAGCCCATGGGTCAACTTTTCTGAACTCACCAAGCTTTTTACTGACTCAGGCATTTGCATTTCCTGTTTCCTCTACCCAGAATGTTCCTCTCTTGGGTCTGTCTACCCTGAATATCAAGTCAGAGCTAAAAAATCATCTCATCAGAGGCCTTCCCTAACCACCTTATGTAACGAACATTTCTCCATCCCAACCCATAACTGCCCAACGAGCCACTGTTTATTTTCTTCCTAATACTCAGGAAAGCCTACAGTTAACTTGTTTATTGCTCAGTGCTTATATTCTGCCTCTCCCATTGAAATTAAAGTTCCAAAAGACAAGGGCATATCAATATATACCGTTACAATTATACCTTAAAACATTCTCCTTTCCCTTATGTAACAGTGTTTGATCTTTACATTTTGGGATAATTTGGATCCTAAACTGTCTGTGTCCTCCAAATACAATAGTCCCCCTATTAAAGGTTTTGCCTTCTGCAGTTTGTTACCCACAGTCCACCACTGTCCAAAAATATTAAATGGAAAATTCCAGAAATAAATAATTTATGTTTTAAATCGTGCACCATTCTGAGTTGTATGACGAAGTCTTGCACCTTTCTATTCTGTCCTGCTCAGATCATGAATCATCCCTTTGTCTAGCACATCCATGCTGTATGCCCTACCTGCCTGTTAGTCTCTTAGTCTCATCTAGCTTTTCAGATCTGTTGCATGTGGTGAATATAGCGTTCAGTATTATTCCAGGTTTCAGGCATCCACTGGGTCTTGAAATGTATCCACTGTGGATAAGGAGGGATGACTATACCCACACATCAGAAGGGAAATAGACTCTGCTTAGATGCACTTTATACTTTGGTTTTGTATGAAGATGCCATCTGCCTTAAATAGAGAAACAGAAAAGAACTTTCCTAATAATTGGCCCTGTGAAGAACAAGTAGAAGAAGGGAAAAGGAAGAAGCTATAAGTCTGGTGGGATGCTGAGTCAATGTGTAGATATAAGTATTATTGTATGCATAAGATATCTTAGTGTCTGTTTAAAAAGGCCAGAAAATTAGGAACAACCATGGCTCTCTGTAGGAAATTGAAGTTGAAGACAATCTTCATGTGACAAAAAAGTAAAATGTGAGAAAACAGTAGATGATGGACTCAGCTTTCTGTGTCTTTTTCTAGTATTGTTACTTCAGTCTGTCTATGTAGGAAAAATTATAGGTGATTAGTTCATTAACCCCACATTGCCTCAGTTCTTGAAGCATGGATACCCTTGTCTGAATGTTTGTGTGCCCCTGAAATTCATGTGGAAATTATCTTCTCTAGAGTGATAGTGGTAGGTGGGACCTTGGGAGGTGATTAGGTCATGATGGCTCATGAATAGGATTATTACCTTTATCAAAGGCCCAAAGGAGCTTCCTTGCCCCTTCCACTGTGTGGGGAAACAGGAAGAAGGCACCATCTGTGAGAAAGCCAGCCCATGCCAAATCTGCCTGGGCCTTGATCTTGGATTTCCCAGTCTGCAGATCTGTGAGAAATAAATTAGCCATGCCCAGCTAATTTTTTATAAGTATATTAGTCTGTTTAGTTATAAGTGTTGTTTGTAAGTGTATTAGTCTGTTCTCAAGCTGCTAATAAAGACATACCTGAGACTGGGTGGTTTATAAAGGAAAGAGGCTTAATTGACTTATAGTGCCACATGGCTGGGGAGCTCTGACAGTCACAACAGAAAGCAAAGGAGGAGCAAAGTCACTTCTTACGTGGTGGCAGTCAGGAGAGAGTTTGTGCAGGCGAACTCCCATTTACAAAACCATCAGATCTTGTGAGACTTATTCACTACTACGAGAATAGTACGGGGGAACTGCCCCCATGATTGAATTATCTCCACCTGGCTCTACCCTTGACATGTGGGTATTACTACAATTCAAGGTGAGATTTGTGTGGGGACACAGCCAAACCACATCAATAAGCTACCCAGTATATGGTACAGTCATGGGCCACATAAACAATATATCTATCCATTATGGACTGCATATTAAGACAGTCATAGAAGATTATGATGGAGCTGCCCTATACAGGTGTAACTTTAAAAAAATCTCTTCTGGCTGGGTGCAGTGGCTCACACCCATAATCCCAGCACTTTGGGAGGCCGAGACGGGCGGATCACGAGGTCAGGAGATCGAGACCATCCTGGCTAACATGGTGAAACCCCGTCTCTACTAAAAAATACAAAAAACTAGCCAGGCGAGGTGGCGGGCACCTGTAGTCCCAGCTACTCGGGAGGCTGAGGCAGGAGAATGGCCTAAACCCGGGAGGCGGAGCTTGCAGTGAGCTGAGATCTGGCCACTGCACTCCAGCCTGGACTACAGAGCGAGACTCCATCTTAAAAAAAAAAAATTAGCCAGGTGTGGTGGCGGGTGCCTGTAGTCCCAGATACTCGGGAGGCTGAGGCAGGAGAATGGCATGAACCTGGGAGGTGGAACTTGCAGTGAGCCGAGATCATGCCACTGCACTCCAGCCTGGGCAACAGAGCAAGGAGACTCCATCTCAAAAAAAAAAAAAAAAAAAAAAAAAAAATCTCTTCTATTGCTTGGCATGGTGGCTCATGCCTATAATCGCAGTACTTTGAGAGGCTGAGGTGGGAGAATTGCCTCAACAGGAGTTCTAGACCAGCCTGGGCAACAGCAAGACTTTGTCTCTACTAAAAATAAAAAATTAGCTGGGCATGGTGGCATGCACTTGGTACTCCCAGCTACTCAGGAAGTTAGGCAGGAGGATCACTTTAGCCCAGGAGTTTGAGGATTCAGTGAGCCATGATCATACCATTGTACTCCAGCCTGGTGACAGAGGGGGCCCTGTCTCAAAAAATATATATATAAAATGTCCTCATATCATACTTTACCTTCTTTATGTTTGTATATGTTTAGATACAAACATATCTAAACATTTAAATACCATTGCGCTTCAATTGCCTGTAGTATTCAGTATGGTAACATGTTGCACAGGCTTGTAGACCAGGAGCGGTAGGCCATATAGGCGAAGTGTGCAGTATGCTATACCATCAAGATTTGTGTAAGTATGCTCTGTAATTGCCCATCCATAATGATGCATTTCTCAGAGCATGTCCCCATCATTAAGCGACACAATATTATTTTGTTATAGCAACCCAAGTTATTCAAGACACTGGATATTCCTGATATCATGAAGACCTTAACTACAAAGCTTGTTAATACCTCAAAACCTTTCTTAACTGCTCTAGTGGATTTGATCTCTCCCATCTCTGAACTTTTATAACAATTTAATCTTTTTGTTTGTTTGTTTGTTTGTTTGTTTTTTTTTTTGAGTCGGAGTCTCGCTCTGTCGCCCAGGCTGGAGTGCAGTGGCCGGATCTCAGCTCACTGCAAGCTCCGCCTCCTGGGTCTACGCCATTCTCCTGCCTCAGCCTCCCGAGTAGCTGGGACTACAGGCGCCCGCCACCTCGCCCGGCTAATTTTTTGTATTTTTTTTGGTAGAGACGGGGTTTCACCAGGTTAGCCAGGCTGGTCTCGATCTCCTGACCTCGTGATCCGCCCGTCTCGGCCTCCCAAAGTGCTGGGATTACAGGCTTGAGCCACCGCGCCCGGCCAACAATTTAATCTTTATCACATGGGCTCACACTTGATTATGTTTTATATTATCTTCTCAAATTACTTTTTTGTTGTTGGTCTTGTCTTCCTAATTACTTTCTAAACTTTTCAAGAACAATTCCTTCATTACTTTGATATCACAAATGCTTAGTGCATAATGTATAATTGCTTAGGAAATATTGGATTAGTCAATGATTTCCTATGGATGACATAGAAAAGGAAAGTACTTCCTTTGCCTTTTCTTGAACCACCTTTTCCCTCAGGTTTTCTCTCAGTATCACCTCTTCAATATAAATTTCTTTATATTTTACTGATAACGTTTTATATATGCCCAGATTTCTTCTATCTATGGTAAGTGATGTAGCAATATTTTTTTCTTTTTTCTTTCTTTTTTTTTTTTTTTTTTGAGATGAGTTTCATTCTTGTTGCCCAGGCTGGAGAGCAATGGCGCAGTCTCGGCTCACTGCAACCTATGCCTCCTGGGTTCAAGCGATTCTCCTGCTTTAGCCTTCCAGGTAGCTGGGATTATAGGCAGGTGACACCATGTCCCGCTAATTTTGTGATTTTACTAGAGATGGGGTTACACTACATTGGCCAGGCTGGTCTTTAAACTTCTGACCTCAGGTGATATGCCCGCCTCCCAAAGTTCTGGGATTATAGGCATGAGCCATTGCGCCTGGCCGATGTTGCAATAATTTTTAAAGGACATTTATTCCTTCTCTAAACTTAAGTTCTAGGTCAGCAGTTAAGAAAGTTACTCGTGGTAGTAAATAAGAATGTGATTAATAGTGATATCAACCTACATATCATTATAAAATTCATTTCTTCAAAAGGGGAAATGGTAAAACCCTGTTAAGCAGTGGCTTAAGGTGCTGGGTACAGTGGCTAACACCTGTAATCCTAGCTACTCAAAAGAAGGTGGGAAGATTGCTTAAGCCCAGGAATTAGTGAGCTATGGTCATGCCACTGCATTCCAGCCCGGACAACTAAGTGAAACCCTCTCTCTCTCTGTCTCTTTTTTTTTTTTTTTTTTTTTTTAATAAAAAGGTGGTCTAAGAAGTGATAATTTTACCAGGCTGTTGAAAGTAAGGTGAATGGAAAAAATCTCTTAATATGCAGATTAAAGTTCAGGGAACTCAGAATTGAAAAGTTCACTTTATCAAAACATGTAGATGATTTCATTGGAACACCATTTTCTGATTATGAAAAGATAACCATAGGATTTCACCTAAATCCTAAGATAATCACAAACCATAGGGTATGTGGTTACTGGAGATCTCTAGAGAGTTTTCAGCAGCAGTAGTGATACGATATTGGTATTTAAACAAAGTTAACATAACTATATATGAAAACCAATTACAAGTGGAAGAGAATAGATGACGAGAGCTTAATTTATAGTCTGTTAGGTCAATACAGGCATGAAATATTACCATAGCAGACTACTTCTCTAGGATTTCATCCTACATTGAGGTTTTTGTTTTTTGTTTTTGTTTTTGTTTTGAGACAGGGTCTCGCTCTGCCTAGGCTGGAGTGCAGTAGGGCAATCGTGACTCACTGCAGCCTCAACTTCCTGGGCTCAAGTGACCCTTTGACCTCAGCCTCCTGAGTAACTGGGACTACAGGCATGTACCACCATGCTTGACTAATTTTTGTATTTTTTGCAGAGATGGTGTTTTGCCATGTTGCCCAGGCTGGTCTTGAACTCCTGGGCTCAAGCAGTCCAATTCAGCCTCCCAAAGTGCTGGGGATTATAGGCCTGAACCACTACACCTAGCCCATTTAGTTTTCTTAATCACCTTTTCCATGTTCCTTCATAAGCTGTCTTTCTTGGGGTCTCCCTGCATATTTTCCAGTTGACATGCCTGTACATAACAGGTTTTGTGAGATTTATTAAATATTTTTAAATTACCTTTTTCACAATGTCTCCTTTGATGTAGCCATGATAAACATTCACTTTTTTTATATCTTTCAGATTGGGAATCTATATATGAGACACAGGAATTACCTCTGAAGCAGTTCATGTATGATGATGCATGCATGGAGGGAATTACAAGCTATGGACTTGAGTGTTCCACTTTTGAAGAAAACTGGAAATGGGAAGACCTTTTTGAGAAGCAGATGGGAAGTCACAATATTTTTAGCAAGAAAGAAACAATCACTCATAAAGAAACCCTCACTAAGGAAACAGAATTCAAATATACTAAATTTGGGAAATGTATCCATCTGGAAAACATAGAAGAGAATATTTATAATCACACATCAGATAAAAAAAGCTTCTCCAAAAATTCTATGGTAATAAAACACAAGAAAGTCTATGTAGGAAAGAAGCTTTTTAAATGTAATGAATGTGACAAAACCTTCACCCATAGCTCATCCCTTACTGTTCATTTTAGAATTCATACTGGTGAAAAACCATATGAATGTGAGGAATGTGGAAAAGCCTTCAAGCAAAGGCAACACCTTGCTCAACATCACAGAACACATACTGGAGAGAAACTCTTTGAATGTAAAGAATGTAGGAAAGCCTTCAAACAAAGTGAACACCTTATTCAACATCAAAGAATTCATACTGGAGAAAAGCCATATAAATGTAAGGAATGTAGAAAAGCCTTCAGACAGCCTGCACACCTTGCTCAGCATCAGAGAATTCATACTGGAGAGAAACCCTATGAATGTAAAGAATGTGGCAAAGCCTTCAGTGATGGCTCATCTTTTGCTCGCCATCAGAGATGTCACACTGGGAAAAGACCCTATGAATGTATTGAGTGTGGGAAGGCTTTTAGGTATAACACATCTTTTATTCGTCACTGGAGGAGTTATCATACTGGAGAGAAGCCTTTTAATTGCATTGATTGTGGGAAAGCTTTCAGTGTTCACATAGGACTTATTCTGCATAGGCGAATTCATACTGGAGAGAAACCTTACAAATGTGATGTGTGTGGAAAAACCTTCAGCTCTGGTTCATCCCGTACTGTACATCAGAGAATTCACACAGGAGAGAAACCTTATGAATGTGATATATGTGGGAAAGATTTTAGCCATCATGCATCACTCACTCAGCATCAAAGAGTACATTCTGGAGAGAAACCTTATGAATGCAAGGAATGTGGGAAAGCCTTTAGGCAGAATGTACACCTTGTTAGTCATTTGAGAATTCATACTGGTGAAAAACCCTATGAATGTAAAGAATGTGGAAAAGCTTTTAGAATCAGTTCGCAGCTGGCTACTCATCAGAGAATTCATACTGGAGAGAAGCCTTATGAATGTATTGAATGTGGAAATGCTTTCAAACAGAGATCACACCTTGCCCAACATCAGAAAACTCATACAGGAGAGAAACCTTATGAGTGTAATGAATGCGGGAAAGCCTTCAGCCAAACTTCCAATCTTACTCAACATCAAAGAATTCATACTGGAGAGAAACCCTATAAATGTACTGAATGTGGAAAGGCTTTTAGTGATAGCTCATCCTGTGCTCAACATCAAAGACTCCACACTGGCCAAAGGCCCTATCAGTGTTTTGAATGTGGGAAGGCATTCAGAAGAAAGTTATCCTTAATTTATCATCAAAGAGGTCATACTGGAGAAGAACCTTAAGAATGTAGTGCATGTGGCCAAGCCTTTAGTTATCATCAATCCCTTACTGTTAATCAGAGATGTCCCACTGGTTGAAAAACATAAACGTAAGAAATGTAGAAAAACCTTCAGCCAGAGGCTGGCAAGATGGCTGAATAGGAACAGCTCTGGTCTGCAGTTCCCAATGAGAGCAACACAGAAGGTGGGTGATTTCTGTATTTCCAACTGAGGTACCCGGCTCATTTCATTGGGACTGGTTAGACAGTGGGTGCAGCCCATGGAGGGCGAGCCGAAGCAGGGTGGGGCGTAACCTCATCTGGGAAGTGCAAGGAGTCGGGGATCTCCCTCCCCTAGCCAAGGGAAGCCATGAGGGACTGTGCCATGAGGAATGGTGCACTCTGGTGCAGATACTAAGCTTTTCACATGGTCTTTGCAACCCATAGACCAGGAGATTCCCTTGGGTGCCTATGCCACCAAGGTCCTGGGTTTAAGCACAAAACTGGGCAGCCATTTGGGTAGACACCAAGCTAGCTGCAGGAGTTTTCTTTGATACCCCAGTGGCACCCGGAACACCACTGAAACAGAACCACTTACTCCCTTGTTAAGGGGGCTGAAGCCGGGGAGCCAAGTGATTGAGCTAAGTGGGCTCATGCCCACTGAGCCCAGCAAGCTAAGATCCACTGGCTTGAAATTCTTACTGCCAGCACAGCAGTCAGAAGTCGACCTGGGATGCTCAAGCTTGGTGGAGGAAGGGGCATCTGCCATTACTGAAGCTTGAATAGGTGGTTTTCCCCTCACAGCATAAACAAAGCCACGGGGAAGTTCCAGCTGGGCAGAGCCCTCCATAGCTCAGCAAAGCCTCTGTAGCCAGACTGCCTCTCTAGATTCCTCCTCTCTGTGCAGGGCATCTCTGAAAAAAGTTCAGATAAAACCCCCATCTCCCTGGGACAGAGCACATGGGGGAAAGGGGTGGGTGTGGGCACAGCTTCAACAGACTTAAACGTTCCTGCCTGCCAGCTCTGAAGAGAGCAGCAGTTCTCTCAGCACAGTGCTCTAGCTCTGCTAAGGGACAGACTGCCTCAAGTGGGTCCCTGACCCCCATGCCTCCTGATGGGAAGACACCTCCCAGCAGGGGTCCACAGACACCTCATACAAGAGAGCTCCAGTTTGCATCTGGTGGGTGCCCCTGTGGGACAAAGCTTCCAGAGGAAGGAACAGGCAGCAATCTTTGCTGTTCTGCAGCCTCCACTGGTGATACCCAGGCAAGCAGGGTCTCGAGTGGACCTCCAGCAAACTCCAGCAGACCTGCAGCAGAGGGGCCTGACTGTTAGAAGGAAAACTAACAAAAAGGAATATCATCAACATCAACAAAAGGACATCCACACAGAAACCCCATCTGAAGGTCACCAGCATCAAAGACCAAGGGTAGATAAATGCATGAAGATGGGGAGAAACCAGTGCAAAAAGGCTGAAAATTCCAAAAACCAGAATGCCTCTTCTCCTCCAAAGGATCACAATTCCTCGCCAGCAAGGGAACAAAACTGGATAGATAATGAGTTTGACAAATTGACAGAAGTAGGCTTCAGGAGGTGGGTAATAAACTCCTGTGAGCTAAAGGAGCATGTTCTAGCCCAATGCAAGGAAGCTAAGAACCTTGAAAAAAGGTTCGAGGAATTTCTAACTAGAATAACCAGTTTAGAGAAGAACATATGACCTGATGGAACTGAAAAACACATCATGAGAACTTCGTGAAGGATACACAAGGAAAACCTGCAGCCAGATTGAATGCTTTACATGGAAGAATTCATACTGCAAAGAGGTCTTAACAATGTAAAGAATGTGCAAATGTCTTCAGACGAAATGCACACCTTGCTCATCAGTGAGTTCATTTCAGGCATCCAGCTCTCCCTCACCCACTACATCACCAAGTCCTGTGGATATATCTGCTAAATACTTTTGGAATTTATCCACTTCTTTTCGTTCCCCAGTTCAAAACACAGTCATTTCACCTTGACTACTATTTCAGTCATTACACAGGTGTCCAACCTTTTGTCTTCCCTGGGCCACATTGGAAGAAGAAAAATTGTCTTGTGCCACACATACAATACAGTAACATTAACAATAGCTGGTGAGCTAAGAAAAAAAAAGTCTATGCATAATTTTAGTGATACACCACCTCAAATAAGCATAAAAGTCCGCACATTCAATGGGTTGGATACCCGTGAATTCCAAAACTTCATCCTCTTTTGTCCCTTTCGAGTTAACATTACAGCCACAGTGACCCTTGAAAAATGCAAATTAAATTACTCTCTTAAAACTCTAGTTAAAATACTTGATGTACATAGGGTGCTTAGCAAAATGATCAGCTCATACTAAGTGCTTGGTAAATGTTAGATAAGTATTCTTCAGAGTTGATGTAAGTTATTTTTAAACAGTGTATTCTTGAAAGCAGTTTGGCAATCGTAAAAATTTTGGAACCGAAACAGTATCTTTTTTTAAACTAAAAAAAGTTTTAAATGGGGTCTTACTATGTTGCCCAGGGTGATCTCAAACTCCTGTGCTCAAGTGATCCTCCCACCTCATTCTCAAGTGGCTGGAATTACAGGCAACCAGCCTGACTTAAAACAGTATCTTAAGGTAGACGGTGATTAGCACATGTAGTATGCTTAACGTTTAATATTATAATAAAACATCAGAGTGGCTCTCTCATGATTAAGGCTGTGTTCCCTTGTTGGTGAGGAAATTAATTATGACTTGATGCACAGAACATGTTTTAAGAAGTGGCTATATAGCTCTGGATAAAATGAACAAAAGAATTAGAATTCCTGGGGAGAATATATAAAAGACTGTATTTAGTCAAGCAAAAACAAAACAAAACAAAAAAAACTAATGTTTAACTGAAGAAAGAGAAATTGAGTAATATAGTTGTATTTCAACATGTGGGTTCACAGATTTAGTCTAACCTTTCAAGGATCCACTAGTAAAGTTGTTCTGGAGTGTATTTTTAAAAACACACACACACTTAAAATGTTCCACTTCTTTCATGAGGCTAAGTCAACTCTGATATCAAACCAAGGGGAAAAAAATGAAAGTATAGGTGAGTTTACTTAGTTATATACAAAAGGAAATTATTAGCCTCTATTGATGGAGAACAGAGGCTCTGAATAAATGGAGATCCATAACATGATCCTAGATGAATATTTCAATATTGTAATCCTGTAAGTTACTTTTACATTGACAGTTCTGAAATTCATGTTGAGTGTTAATTAGGGAGCTATCAGAAGGGAGATTTTGTAGAAGGTCATATCCCATGGGTTTTTTTATATTGCAGAAGTGTTTTCGATGTATCATTGGGGGAGATTAAATGTCTTTGACAGTTATCCAACTGGAAATAAAGTCAGCATCCCATTTTATTCCTTACACAGAAGTTCATTCTATACTGGTTACAGATGTAAGAGGAAATACTGTTACAATGGTAGAGGAGAATGTAGAGTATTTCTGTGCCTTTAGGTTCAGGAAGTCTGGGAAGCAGGACATGGTCCAGAAGCCATGGAGAATGACAGGACTATGTAGAAGATTTAAACCTTTTTCATGGCATAAGATACTGTATGCAAAGTTAAAAGGCATATGACAGGCTGAGAGATATCTTAAACATACATTAGAAAGGATATAGCCCTTGAAAAAGGGCTGTTGGAAAGCAGCAAGGATAAGGTACACAGTCTTACAGAGCACATCAACAAAATTTATTGGATGAAGAAATTAAAATGGTTAAATAGAAGAAGTTCTCAACCTCACTAATGATCAGATAAATGCAGACTGTAAAAGTCCTCATCACCACCAACACAAACCAGCAGAAATTTTATGTGAATGTAAAGTTTGGATAATATCCAGTATTGTTACAGATGTACGAGAGACCATATTTTCATATATTGACAGGGTAAATTAGAGGAAAGCCATTTTAGAGGGCAATGTGGTGTTACCTGTCAGCATTTTGGATGTAATTACCCTTTGCCACAATTCTACACCTAGTCATTTATGTTCTCAAAAAGCACAAGTGCAGAAATATATATGCATAAGCAAATACGTTGTAGAATTGTGAAAAATTTGGAAAAAAATGTTTAGAACTAGTAAAGTTGTGGGTTACTTACGTTACAGATAATCAGTTTAGTAGATCAGTATGTAGTTACAGAAAATGAGATGGATCTCTATGTACTCAAAGTTGTCTTGCAGTTTATGAACAAATGTAATTTCATAACTAACACGAAGACATCGTTATTAACTACATAAACTTCATAAAGCTTAAAAAATGCATTCATAGTATCTGTTATTTGTAGTTTTTGTTTACAATACAAATAGAAACCATGCACACACAGATACAAGAACTCCTTCCCTGTTTTTGTTTTTGTTTTGTTTTTGGTAGTGGGCGGGGTGAACTGCTCTCATGTTATTCCATGAGGTTTTTTTGTGTGTTGCTGGTTGTTCATGGTTCATGTTTTATTTTTATTTTTTGAGATGGAGTCTTGCTCTGTCGTCAGGCTGGAGTGCAGTGGTGCGATCTTGGCTCACTGCAACCTCCACCTCCTGGGTTCAAGTGATTCTCCTGTCTCAGCCTCCCGAGTAGCTAGGACTACAGGATAGTCTCGATCTCTTGACTCATGATCTGCCCACCTTGGCCTCCCAAAGTGCTGGGATTACAGGCATAAAGCACCGCATCCCGCCTGTACACAGTTCATTTAAATCAAATTAGATACTCCTTGAGACATGGGTGAAGTTGAACATGAGTTATCCTTTGGCCATGACTTAAAGATAGTATATGAGTTTCTGCTACTCTGCTCCCTAGACCTGACCCGATTCATGCTTCTGCCAGGTTGTAAACATGTTTTGTCCTGCTGAATTGGCAGAGTAGCCCCAAAAGAACTGTGACTAAGGTATGCACATACTGAAGAAAGGAATATAACCAGTATTTCTGGGAGAGCTCTAAGGAAGGTAGACTTCTGTTGCAGTCATTCAGAAGAATTATGGGTGGTGATTCTTGCACAAGCCCAGCTCATACATCTAGGCTAGAAGTTGCTTAGATATCTTTATTAGTGCCTGGGGATGTTTTAAGGCCTTTGGTTGGGTTTAAGCCTGCTGGGAAAAACCTTGGCTCAAAACGACTGAAAAGCTTTTCCTGAACCTGTGCTCAAGAGCAGCATTTTACCTCTAGGGAGTGCTTTACTCACCACCCATAGGACATTTCAAAGAAAGACTGTTTTAGGAAAGTGGTTTCTTATCTCTTAAATTTATTGAGGCTCATTTTCTGGCCTATAATATGGTCTATCTTGGAGAAAGTCCCATGCGCTGTTGAATAGAATGTGTATTCTGTGGTTGTTGGATGAAATGTTCTGTATATATCTGTTAAGTCCATTTTTTCCAAGGTATAGCTTAATTCCATTGTTTCTTTGTCGACTTTCTTTTTTAAAAAATTTGAGACGGAGTTTCACCCTTGTCACCCCAGCTGGAGTACAATGGCATGATCTCAGCTCACTGCAACCTCTGCCTCCCAGATTCAAGTGATTCTTCTGCTTCACCCTCCTGAGTAGCTGGGATTACAGGTGCCTGCCACCACACCCAGCTAAGTTTTGTGTTTTTAGTAGAGACAAGGTTTCACCATGTTGGCCAGGCTGGTCTTGAACTCCTCACCTCAGGTGATCTACCCGCCACGGCCTTCTCAAGTGCTGGGATTACAGGTATGAGCCACTGTGCCAGACCTCTTTATTGACTTTGTGTCTTGATGACCTGTCTAGTGCTGTCAATGGAGTATTGAAGTCCCCCACTATTATTGTGTTGATCTCTATCTCATTTCTTAGGTCTATTAGTAATTGTTTTGCAAATTTGGGAGCTCCAGTGTTAGGTCATATATGTTTAGGATTGTGATATTTTCCTGTTGAAGAAGGCCTTTTACCATTATATAATGTCCCTCTGTCTCTTTTAACTGCTGTTGCTTTAAAGTTTAGTTTGTTTGATATAAGAATAGCTACCCCTGCTTCTTTTTGGTGTCAATTCACATGAAATGCCTTTTTCCACCCCTTTACTTTAAGTTTATGTGAAGTCCTTATGGGTTAGGTGAGTCTCATGAAGGCAGCAAATACCTGGTTAGTGAGTTC